CCACACATGCCACCAGTCAAAAGCACCATTCGAACATCAACCCAAATCATTAAGTAGAAAAAGGACGCAACGTCAATGCTGTCTGCAATGACAATACATGGATCCATTGACTACCAAAAAGATCCAACAAACCTTTTGATCCTTTTGGACTTTGATGCCTCCATGGTTTGCCCTTGTGGATCAGAAGTAACCCACAGGGCTAGGAATATGGAGGCAGTGCCTCGCAAGGAGCATGACTCAACTTGCCGGCAGTCTGTTTGGGACGCCACCACTGAGGATATACACCATGACAACCTGGTGCCCAACACATGGTGGGCTGCTGAGAATACACAGCCATGCGTCCGCATGCACCACACATGCCAACAGTCAAAAGCACCATTCGAACATCAACCCAAATCATTAAGTAGAAAAAGGACGCAACGTCAATGCTGTCTGCAATGACAATACATGGATCCATTGACTACCAAAAAGATCCAACAAACCTTTTGATCCTTTTGGACTTTGATGCCTCCATGGTTTGCCCTTGTGGATCAGAAGTAACCCACAGGGCTAGGAATATGGAGGCAGTGCCTCGCAAGGAGCATGACTCAACTTGCCGGCAGTCTGTTTGGGACGCCACCACTGAGGATATACACCATGACAACCTGGTGCCCAACACATGGTGGGCTGCTGAGAATACACAGCCATGCGTCCGCATGCACCACACATGCCGCCAGTCAAAAGAACCATCGAAAACAACTATCAAAGTTTGGAGCACCTTCCCTCAGGAACATGTCTCTTGTATTTTCATGTATTTTCGTATTTAAGGTTTTAAGGCTTAAGGTTATATTATATTGTGGGTATTTCCGGATTATATTGATTTAGTATTCGCATCATATTGTCAAATGCAGATGGTATTGAAATCAACAGTTGTTGGGTCATACAATTAGCATGATATATTAGTTGTCACACTTTGGTGCCTTAAGATTTCCTAACATAGGGGGTAAAAAGGCCCTCGTTTTATCTGATTTTTCTCGATTAAAACCACCCTACCCCACAGTTATCCTTAACTGAGTCTACTAATTGTGAATAAACCAATACCAAACATCCAAATGTTGCCATGCAACCATTCCACCGACTATCAGAGCTATACTGGAGACATGTCCCCGAGGGTATTTGACATGTCCTTTGAAACTAACATCAACCCACATCAACAAGTAGAAATAGGATGCAACGTCAATGCTGTCTGCTATGACAGTACATGGATCCATTGACTACCAAAAAGATCCAACAAACCTTTTGATCCTTTTGGACTTTGATGCCTCCATGGTTTGCCCTTGTGGATCAGAAGTAACCCACAGGGCTAGGAATATGGAGGCAGTGCCTCGCAAGGAGCAGGACTCAACTTGCCGGCAGTTTGTTTGGGACGCCACCATTGAGGATATACACCATGACAACCTGCTGCCCAACACATGGTGGGCTGCTGAGAATACACAGCCATGCGTCCGCATGCACCACACATGCCGCCAGCCAAAAGCACCTTGCAATCGCCTTGTGGAAGGAAAAAGGGAGGTCGAGGAAGAGGACGAGTGAAATTGCTTTCGTTTTGTTCAGACAATGCAGTTTGCCCCCTCTGGGTTCTCCATGAAAGCAAGGCCAAGAATCCTGGCCACTGGCCACGCTGAGCACAGGACAAATCAATTGGCTAGCTCTCTCCCCGAACTGGGCATCCCACTTCATCGTTCTTAGCTTCCCATTCGGCGACGGAGTTCCTGTTCAGGTCATGATTCTGCCAAGAGTGGTTGCTGCGAACAGAGGACAGCATGGGACAGCATGGGACAGCATGGGACAGCATGGGACAGCATGGGACAGCATGGGACAGCATGGGACAGCATGGGACAGCATGGGCAGTATGGGACAGCATGGGCAGTATGGGACAATGGGACAGCATGGGCAGTATGGGCAGTATGGGACAGCATGGGACAACGCTGATAGATGTGCCTCCCACTGATGCATGCTGCACGCGCAGATCCATCCAGTCAAAACGCTGTCGCACCTTGGGCCAACGAGGACGACTTGATATAAGACTCAAGGAAATTCACTGCTAGGCTGGGAAAGTAGCTCCTACGAGTCTTGGAATCTAGTGAGCAGTTCTGGAAACTCTTTTGTTTTGCTCCTTGGCAGCTGGATCAGCTGGTTTTGCCACAGATCAAGCAGATAGTCTGGGAAGAGACTTTTACATAAATTTCAATCCACAATGCCCTGCAGTAACAAATTTCCAGGCTTCACCAAATCGCTCTGCTTGGCATCCCCGCGTATTCTCGTAGGTCCACGATATCAGTCACAGTGGCACTGTTGCCACCTCTCAAACGCAAGACGACCTCGAAGCGAGGATAAAGATTAAGCAAATCACTGCAATATTCTCTCATACTTGGCAAATCTGAATAGTTCCGAGAATCATCAGCGTCTCAAGAAGCTGATCCGAACAGCATAAATGACTCCTTTCTCCCCTTTGAAGAAAGCAACGTCTATCCCTGCCTCCAGGAACTCTTGAAAGCTTAACTTCCGCAAGCGCCGACGCGCTGTGTTGAGGCCATGCCTTGGGACCAACGCAAGGCGAACTCTAGAGATACCTACATCCTACATCATCCTACAGGATACCATAGGATACCTACATATTCCTTTTAAATCCCAAAGCGAAAAGCCGTGACAGTGAAGCCATCGAGAGCAGAACAACTTGAGATTTCTTTGCAAGGCAAATGGCTTCTGACTACACTTGAAGTTGTCATTGCACAACTATTGCGCTAACATGGGACATTTGGGGAATGCACGAATTGTTCTCGTCTTCGTCCTCATCGTCGTTTTCATCTTGCTCCGTCTGGCCGCAGGATACCCTCTGGTAATTTAACATAGCTATTGAAAATGGCCATTTATAGTGGATTTTCCCATTAAAAATGGTGATTTTCCATAGCTACGTTAAATTACCAGAGGGTAGTCAACATTGGGACCTACGCCCAGATTGGCTTCTATCTCCAGCCAGCGGGAAGCCCCACCTATATCAGCATCCAACAGTTACAGTCAATAGATTCCGGTCGTCCAAACATGTTCTCATCTCTTATCATCTCTTGGGAGCATCGTATTGGAGGTGCCACAATGACGAAATCTCAACATGTTTATCCACAAGGCTTGCCGCTTGTGCATCCACTTACCGCACAAAAAAGACAGACGAGGATTATATACCCAGGGAAAGCATCATCGGCTTTCGCAAACAGTCACAAAGAATATCTTGCCGCCCAGTGGCATTGTCCTCAAAAAGAACCTTGGCACGTCCAACAAGCTGAAACAATATTCTCGGCATTGTCTTCTACTCAATGTATGTACTTGCTTGAACAGGTTCCATAATTGTAGATATAGAATTATATATATATATGTATACTGTATCTTATATGTGTCAATCTCTCTCTTTCCCACTTGAGAGAGAATCAAAGAGAGGCAAGCGCGTCAGTCCTTTCCCGGTCTTTCAAACTTTCTGATCTTATCTTTTGCTTTGCATCTAGACAGCCAGCAGCAACACAGTAGACATCTGAGCGTTCCTCGAACAGCATGGCTGAGTTTGTGACATCTTTCAAGTTGAGGAGGTCTGCCACATTCACTCCAAATCTGGTGAGCACCTTGTGACAAACGCACTTGCGAGTTGCATCTCACAATCTGATGGAACTTGCCACTATGCATTTAGTTTTGATGTGGGAACGAAAAGCCAAGTGGAAATCAAGATTGGTGAACTCTAAAAAGTATGGCACTCATTCTTTTACTGTAGCTGAGTTGACACTCGTAGAAGGAGTGAAGGCCCTCAGAGTTACCTAGTTGCTGGGGAACCCACGAAATGCATCTCCGGATTCTTCATGAGCAACTCAAACTCATCCCGATGGATCTGTCCTTTGAATTCAGTAGCAAAGCGGGTCACAGGTCTGGCCAAGACTTTTCATTGATCTGTAGGTCTGCGTCCCCCCCACAAAGGCTCATTACAATTCAAGAAACTCTACATAACTCCATGTTCAATCGAAAGGACGCCCGATTCTTGAGCTTATCGAACTTATCAGTACTTCTCCTGATATGACATGAGCACCTTTACAACTGTGCAGAGACTCAAACACTGCGGGATCTCAGCAGAATTCTCAGCCGATGGCTGTCATTGTCTTTGTCATGACCTCGGCCATGGGCAATGCGGCAATTCATGAGCTGGATGTAGAAGGCAGCACCAAGTGATAGACATCAATACAAGTATAGGCTGTTTAGTATAGGTATGCTCAGAAATCACCGTGCGCAAGTAGCTGGACCAAGGTGATCAACTGAAGATACGGCAAAAAGGCTTTGCTGGAAAGGGTTATGCGGGATTGCACTCTTGGACTAAGACCCAGGTGATTGCTACGTGTATGTCAATATCAATATCAACTACGAGCCAGTGCCATTGCCATTGACTGTGTAAACATATCACCAAGGCCAAAAGCAGGCTGTGATTTTCTCAGCGTGCGACACTCGAGGATCTCCAATAATGTGTTTTTGAGGTAAGCCACTGCAGCCTCTCGCCAGATCTATCCACTGTTGTGTTCACCACCATGGGTTCGTTTCAAGGTCGTTTAAAAAAAACGCAGCAGTGGTCCATCACCAACAATCCCTTCTCCGCACAGCAAGCTACTCAAAGCTAGTGTAAGTAAATTGGAAGGCACGGAAAAACTTTTTTGCTTGAAAAGCTGAGTCTTGCCCACAACCACTGGTTATGGTGGCTGTGCTCACCACATAAAGCATGGCCGAGGTTGAGGTCTGTTTCCCTGGATTGGGCTTCTTGAGACCTCAAGAAAACCTGGAAAAAGGGCAGATGTCTATTTGCTGCCGGCAAAAAGACCAACTGCCAAAAATATCCAAAAATTGGAAAGGAACAAGTGGCCTGGGAGTCATGAAGGACATCATGTAAACACGGGTTGTTTACAATTTGTGAACCTGTCGATATCTGTTGATCAAATGTGACTTTCCTGCCACACTGTCCAAGCTTCCATCAAATTCAGGTCGGAACGACGTTCACCTTATCCCAATCTCAGGCTTTGCCAGACTTCATCAAACACAGTGCAAACATGGTTCGACCAATGTTCGACCAATGTGCAAAGTGCATGGGCTCAACTTCTAAATGGAAACAATTTGAAACCATCATCCCTTAGGCCCCTCGGGCGCCAGGACCGGCTTTCCTGACAGATAGGCTGTCAGGTTGTCTGCGACAATGTCCATGAGCCTCTGCCTGATGCCGTTTAGGCAGTTGAGGCCGTTGAGCTACAGGATCAACAGGCTATTACAGGCTATGCTATCACAGAGCTTTTGTCACTTTTGTGTACCTTTGTATATGTATGTCCATTTTTGTCCTTATCTTGCTGAGATCTCCATCTAGTTCAAGTCTCTGTCCATCAAAACAGTTCTAAAATTTGATCAGTGCATTCAAGTCTATGCTTCTTGTATCTTCTTGTCCATTCTTGTCCTCTTTGTGTGTGTGTGTGTGTCGGTCGGGGAGAGAGATCGGCTGGTGATTGAACTTCTATCAATGTAGAGCCTTATTGTGAGAGGGACAAACACCTCTATTGCTGGTAGGCCTCGTCTCCAAGCGCTTCCAGCCAATGTGCGGTGTCAGAATGACCTTTGCACAGAGCTGGAGCTCCCAAGGATGAGTTTCGATTTATGGCAACTGAGTTTAACTGCTTGTGTCTTCATCTTGGTTCTGGACATTCTCCAAGCTATACAAAGGATTGTCCGCTGCCGGTGGTTCTGTCTCTTGCACATCCAAACCAGCACCTGAAGATGTTGGAGGCGGATGGAAGAACATGACACTGTACCCTCCAAAAACAACCCATAGTCAGTCTGACCAGGAGGCCAAGTCATCTCTGCCAAGTCATCTCTTGCCAGTACAGACATAGAACCCAGATTTCTCAATTTCAAGCGAAACTTCTGTGTTGCAGCACCTACAGCATCTTCCTCCAACAAGATATGTGCAAGGGTTGCGGATCTGAATTCAGATTTCGACATATTTCGACTAGTTACATGGAAAAATCAAGAATCAATGCCCCAGAATAAATGCTGCGTTCCTTGGCTGCAAAAGCACCACTACCCAGGCACCTGCGATCGTCTTGTTCTGCAGGGCTTCAATGAGCTCAGGCTCCTGTGACGAAAGATGAAAGACAGGCAGTTTGTTGTGTGCCATCCCTCCACAGGTCCTTAATCAAGGAGCCACGGCCTGTGGTCAGAGAAATGGCAGTGTCTCCACATCATTGGCGCAGCTGTCTGCAGAACTGCAGAACCCATAGAATGCTGGGTTCCCAATCAGAAGCCATACAGTACATAATCGGATAGAATCTTAAAATTTCTGCTCAAGCCCGCATTCTAGTGTTGGAGAAAACAGGGAGATTTGAGATTGGCATAGAATCACAAGAATGCCGTCTCTCTCTCTCTCCTCCCTCTCTCTCTCTCTCTCTCTCTCTGAATTTGTACTAATACAGTATATGTGTGAAACTGACATGTCTTGCCCGGATCCTTGCATTGCTTCCACACTATATGGCAGTGAAACCCACCGTAGGCACCCTTGCTCGAAGCTAGGGAAGGTGGGCGGGACTTTTGCACTTGGGAGTGCATACGGTCAAAAGGTGCCATAGGCCTGGCGGCCTCGCTGTGCGGCTTGGTGGTGGGACCATCTACTTGGTTGACATTATCTTCTATCAGTAGGATCTGATTCCATTTGGCTAGGTGGCCTACATCCAGTTTTCCATTGGTTGGACCAATCCTCTGCTACCAGTGTGGGAGGGTCGAGTACCTTTCACACTGGTAGCGGAGCCTGAAGCTCCGTTGCCTCGGCATTGGAAGAGCGGGAGATCCAGGGCATGGCTTCGACCCTTCCTCCTGTCCCCGATGACGACGTGCCACCTCAGTCTTCTGTGGCACAACTCCCTTGGACTGCCATTCCAAAGTTCCAACCTGGGGTTACCAACGTCCAGGAATATGTGAAGAAAATGGAATTCTTGGCACACATGTGGCCTGCAGAACATCTAGACCTGTTGGCGCCCAGGGCGGCGTTGCTAGTTGAGGGATCTGCATTTGCCACTGTGTCCAAGTTGAGCGCCACGAAGTTGAAGGTGAAGAGCCTTGAAGGTGTCAAGGCTTTGATCAAAGCCATTGGAGGTAGCTGGGGCGCTACCGATTTTGAGGAGCGTTTTGAGTACTTTGAGAAGGCCCCGTACGGGATCACCCAGAAGTCCGATGAGTCCAACGACAGCTATGTCAGCCGGATGGAGGCTGTCTTTACAGAGCTTCTTGCGAGAGGCACATCGTTGGAAGAGGTGCAAGCCTATGTGCTCTTGCGACAAAGCACATTGAGTAGTGAAGACAAAAAGCGAGTGCTTCTGGAGAATCCTGAGTTGAAGTATGCCCCAACGGTCAAAGCTCTACGTCTCCTTGGTAGCCGTTTCTTTCATGAAGTGCAAACAGGAAAATCAACCCAGAAAACCAAAGTGTATGACACCATGCTTGCTGAAGGAAATGATGATGAGGGCACTGGCCCAATTCAGCAATCAGCGCTTGTGATGGAAGATGATGACATTTCCCCTGAGTACTTGGAGGCCATGCTGTCCCAAGATGACCCTGACGCTGTGATGGTGCAGGCCTTTGAGACGGAGTTTGAAGACTTTGTCCAAGAGACACCATCCATGCAGACAGCCTTGGTGAGCTACCTGGAGGCCCGACAGAGACTCCAGGACAAGCGCCGTTCACGTGGTTTTGGCCTGCCGGCCATTCCAAGTCCAATTTCAAGGGCAAAGGCAAGGTGGGCAAATCCTTTTCCAAGGGCCAGGGCCGACAAAACCTCTTGGCCAAGATTGCAAAGAGCCGATGCCGTCACTGCAACCAGCTTGGCCATTGGAAGGCCGAGTGTCCTTTGAGGGAGAAGGAGAATCCTGGACCACCTTCGGCATCAAGCGGACCCCCATCAGCAGCTGCCAACATGGCGAACGAGCTCCACGATGGTGCTGAGATGATGCAGGCTGATGACATGGAGATATTCACGGAGAAGGATCTGATGGACCCCTCCGGGCTGCCGAAGGCACCCGATTCCGCTTGTGTACAGGAATGTTTCATGTCAGTTCACAGCCCCTGGAATGACCCCCAAAATAAGATAAACTTAGGTAAGCACATGTCCAGGGTTATGCAATGCATCCGGAGACCATCGAGACAAGCTCAACAGTTTTTGCCCTCTGTTTCCACAGAGTGTAAGCCGTTTCAGCATGCCGTGACCAGCACAAGTCCCCTGAACTCCTCGCTTGCTAGGACCAATGAGACTGCCTGTGAGTTTCTGCCTGAAATGCCTGTCCTGCAAGCTAGCGAGGAGCAATGTGCCCATGCCATACTAGATACCGGTGCCAGCCGATGCATCATCGGATCACAGACCCTGAGTTGCCTTTTGCAGCGCCTGCCAAGTGATGTCAAGTCTCACGTGCAGCAGCGACCCAGCCAGATCAAGTTTCGTTTTGGAAACAACCAAACGCTGACCAGCATGTACAAAGTTTTGTTGCCCTTGAGCCATTCATCAGGTGAAAAGGTCTGGCTAGGTGTAGAAGTTGTCAATGGTAGGACGCCGTTTTTATTTTCCAAGCGTGCCTTCAAGCAGTTGGGAGGCATTTTAGACACCAACCAGGACAGATGCACTTTGACCCGTCTGCAAAAGACGATGCATTTGAGCACCAATGCCACCGGTTTGTACCTCATCGACATGGCTGAGTTTTGCCAATCACCGACTCATGAAAACAGCAAGGATAATGTAAGTCGTGAAGTTTTCATTGGGAGTGCCAGTCATGTGGGGGTTAACACATCATGTCATAGGGAGACAATGATTTCCAAGACTGCTATCCAAGCTGTACAGACACGACCGTTTATCATGCAAAAGACACTTGCGAAGCTATCGCATTCCAGCAATTTGCCAGCCCCGTGTGTGACTCTCGACTCCTGTGTTGACCAGCATGTCTTCGAGCCGCGAAGCTGCCATCAAAATCCTCAAGGAGACGGCCAACATCATCATGGGCACATTGACCTTGGTTCTGCAGGTTTCCATGAACATGATCGAAGTCAAGGACAGCCATCGTCCGGAAGAAGAGGAACAGATGCCCCTGCTGACAAGTCAGCTTCAATCAATGTGCCAAGAGATGATGCGCCAACGTGCCCTACTGCAAAGATTGGCGGAGAGCCAGAATCGAGTGACAAGCCCGGGGATCATGACCCCGCCTCAGATCTCAAGCTTGCCTTTGGAACAACTGTCAATGCCATTGCAAGCAACCCTGAGCGACGAGGAGGAGATCGACGACGCCTTTTCTGTGGGCCATTCCCAAGAATCTGAAGAGTCCCGAGAAGAAGCAGCGCGCAGCCTCCAGCCGTGCGGCAGCCCAACCACCAGCCCTCGAGAACGTGCCAATGCCAATGCCATCCTCTCCGGCCGAAGCTCCGACGCGCCTCACACTGGCAGAATGGGGCCAAAGGAAGATCACGTGGGGCAAGAAGCACCCGGGGCGCACGTATTTTCAGGTGCTGAGCGAGGACATGGGCTACTTCGAATGGAGTCTGTCGCGGTACCGCTCTCTTCCTCCTCATCAGCAAGATTTCGTGGACTTCTGCAGAGCCCAATTGGAGAACGATGCGGCACAGGATCGTGCCATGCTTCTGAATGTGCGCCGGCTTGCCTGAGTCTCGATGCCAATTTAGCAGACATGATTGAGTCTTGTCGTATTGAATGCTCTCGATTTGCCCCTCAAAGAATTGCCAATCAACACCAACGGTCTATTGAGAAATCCCTTGAACAGGCTCAAAATGTGATAGATGAAATCTATACATCCGCTCCTTCAAGTGCCATCCCTAAGAAAAGATTGGTTGTCCTAGAAGTGTATGCTGGTGAGACAAGTCCAATCACCGAAAGTCTGCGTGCGCTGGGTGTGGATGCCTACAGGTTCACCAAACGCGATGGTGACTTGTCAACTCCAGCAGGCCGACGAACCTTGTGGAGTTTGATTGACAGAATTGAACCTGACCATATTTTTGTTGCACCAGAATGTGGGCCTTGGAGTGGCTGGAATAGGTTCAATGCCCAGAGAAGCGTGAGACTCTGGGATCATGTTCATGCAAGACAAGCTGCCGAAAGGGTTCACATCCAGCTGTGTGCTCAACTGTGTACCTATCAAACGAAAAGAAATAGGCACTTCCACCTTGAACAGCCTGTTGGATCGTCTATGATATCCACTAATGAGTTTAGACCCATCGAACAACAAACCAACCGAGTATGTTTTGACATGTGTGCTTTCGGACTCAAGTTGCCCAAAACATCAAAGTTTATCCGTAAACGTAGCCAGCTATGGACGACGTCAGATGTGATGCTGCGTCAGCTTGCCAACCATGATTGTCCGGGCAACCATGTACACACCCAGATTGCTGGTTCCGTGCACCATGATGGAAAACCATCCCTGTGTCAAGCTTCTGTGCCACTTACTGTCATGGATTCGCCGAGACATGTGCCAAGCTTTTGTGTGAGGACCACTCAAACATGTGTCAAACTAGTTTTGTTCATGAAGATGAACCACCAACCAAGAGGTTTCGTTTTGATCCGGAAAACGGTAAACGACGCAGAGTGAGCTCCTCTGTTCCCGCTGATGCGATTGGGGATCAACCAAATGCCCCTGTCGATGGCACCATTGTTGCGAGTGAATCCCTTTGGCATGAAGCGTGTCGGATGGCCAATCGACTAGCTCCTCGAGTTGGAAATCACAAATATGAAGCCGACAGTGATCTTGGAGAACTTGTGCAACAACTTGTGGATGATAATTTCAAAGTCAGATGTGTTTTTATTTGTCGAGGTACAGATCGTTTTCAGGTTCCTGTGTCTGCTCCACCGTCACACGAATCCCCATGGTGTCAGACCCTTTGCGTCCACCGTAGAGATGGCACATTACGTGACCTAGGCATTCGGAATTGGCATGCGTTAACCCGAGCTCAAAGAGTCACCAAGACCATTCCCAGCCGTTTGACACTGACCGTTTTCGGTAACTACAAAGAAGCTGAAAGCCATGATGAGCCATCTTCACCGAATGCCGAAGATCCCATGGTTCCAAGTGATACCAACTCTCGAGTGCCAGCAGTTGATTCTTTTGCAAAGGTTCCTGATCCGAAGACCGTATGTGAAGGGTGGGCTCCACCACCAACTCCGTTGCATGGCCCCTGTTTTCGTGCGTTGGCAAGTGATGAGAAACAGCAATTGGTGAAACTGCATAAGAACCTTGGTCATCCTGATCCAATGGTTTTGTCAGCGCACTTGAAAGCACAAGGTGCCACCGAGCATATCATCCGTGCTGCCCAGGATTTTGTATGCGATGCATGTGTTGAAACCCAGAAGCCACACCATCAACGACCTGCAAAGCTCCATCCGCCAAGAGAGTTCAATGATGTATTGGGTATTGATGGATTTTTCTGGAAAGGGAAGGGCAACTTTCAGTGTTATGTGTTGCACATATATGATGAGGCCTCGGGTTTTCACCTTGCCAAACGTCTTGATGGCCGCAATTTGGATCATGCCATACCGGCATTTCAGAATCTGTGGCTAACATGGGCCGGAGCTCCTCGACATATGTACCTTGATCCCGCAGGCGAATTCAGGGCAGATAGATGGTTAGATTATCTTCAAACAATCAACACCAGTGTTTTCATGTCTGCGGATGCCTGGCAGCGAGGTAGAATTGAACGTCATGGATCAATCCTCAAAGATATGCTCCATCGTTTTGACACGGATCAAAGGATCGAAAACATAGGCCAATTTGATGAAATCCTGAGTTTATGTTGCCAGGCCAAGAATGCTCTCTCTAAGAACCATGGTTATTCACCTGAGCAGTTTGTTTTAGGAAAGGCCACAGACTTGCCGGGATCCCTGACATCAGACGAATCAACGGTTGCTCACTCATTGGCTTTAGGTAGTGACCTTGAAAGCGAAAGGTTCCGCACCCTTTTAGAAAGACGAACACGGGCTCGCCAAGCTTTTATCCTTTCAGACAATGCAGAAGCCATTCGAAGAGCAACCTTGAGGCAATCCCGACCCATGCGAGGTCCTTTTCAACCTGGACAACTTGTGTTGTACTGGGCGAAACGAAGCATCCCCAATCGAAGTGATGTAGGACGCTGGCATGGTCCAGCTCGAGTCATTGTTCAAGAAGGAAATTCAATTGTGTGGTTGTCCCATGCCAACCGTTTGATTCGCCGCCCTCCAGAGAACATTCGACCTGCATCACTCCGCGAGTGGAATACATGGAGCGACCACCTGCCTGAAGTCCGAGATCTGCCGCAAAATATGCCTGTTCCACAAATAGTCCCAGATGAATCTCAAGAAAATGATGCCGTGAATGATGAATATTCACCAAGTCTTGCACCGGACCCTCAACAGCCTGTTCCACCTGACGAACAACCTGAAGGAGAAGCATCCCATCCACCTACTGTAGGATCAGGCGAGACCACTCCAACTGCAGAATCCGATAATGATGATAACCCCCCTAATGAAGATAACCCCGAAGAGAGTTTCCTACTCCAAGCCACCAATATTTTCGAACAGAGCAATTCCTCAAATGCAGATCAAGATGAACTCATGATGTTCGACACTTTCTATTCTGCAGGATGTCCAACAGAAACTGTGTGTTTAGCTGAAGACGGGATGCCGTTCATTGACAATCCTCTTGATTGCAGCACTGAAGAATGTTTTGTCCTTGACATTCCCTTAAAGTCGGCAGACCTGACAGCGTGGAGCCAAGAATCCAATCCGTCAGACATGGCTTGTATAGCTGCGGCTAGTCAACGTGCAAGATCGGAGGTTCAAGTGAAATACCTCTCCGATAGCGATCGAAAGCTGTTCGATATTGCCAAGGACAATGAATTTTCATGTTGGATTTCCACAAATGCCTTAAGACCTATTCTCCGAAAATCCCTTAATCCCGAACAAATCTTGAAGTCACGTTGGGTATTAACCTGGAAAAACGTTGAAGCTGATCAAGACAAGCCTTCCCACAAAAAGGCGAAAGCTCGCCTAGTAGTGTTAGGCTATCAAGATCCCCAACTAACTTCAGTGGCCCGCGACAGTCCCACTTTGACCAAAGAAGGACGGAATACCATCCTCCAACTAATTTCTTCCCAACAGTGGGAATTGACCAGCTTCGATATCAAAACGGCCTTCTTGAGAGGCAAAGCGGATGAGAAGAATCCCTTAGCTATGGAGCCACCTGTGGAACTTCGACAAAAACTTCGAATGTCCCCTGAGCAGGTATGTGCCTTAGTAGGTAATGCTTATGGCCGAGTTGATGCTCCACTGCTGTTTTACAAAGAACTCACTCACCAACTCAAAGCTTTGAATTTCAGAGTTCATCCTCTGGAACCCTGTGTGTTTTTGCTGGAATCCGGCAGTGGCAACCAGCGCAAGCTTCATGGGGCCATAGGTATTCATGTGGATGATGGAGTAGGCGGAGGGGACCAATATTTCCAACAACAACTTGTTGCCCTTTCCAAAGTCTTGCCTTTTGGAAGCCATAAGCACCGCAAATTTACCTTTACAGGTATTGAACTTGAACAACTTCCCGACTTCAGCATTCGTGCTTCTCAGGCAGATTACATCCATCGCATCATGGCCATAGATGTTCCCAAGATTCGTCGTGAACAACCCAATAGTCCAACTACCGAATCAGAAAAATCAAAACTTCGTGGTTTAGTAGGAAGCCTACAGTATGCAGTGACTCATACTCATACGCGCCCTGACATCGCTTCCAAATTGGGTGAAGTCCAAACTGACATGGCTAATCCCACTATTCAGACATTACTATCATGTAATAAGGTACTCCGCGAAGCCCAAGAGCACTCTGATGTCCAAATCTATTTCCGCAGTATTCCACCCGATCAATTGACTCATGTTTCCTTTGGTGATGCATCGTTTGCAAGTCCTAAGCAGCTTTCATCTTTTCAGGGTACCCTCATATGTGCCACCACATCCAAGCTTCATGAAAATGTTGATGCTCCCCTATCCCCTTTAAGTTGGTCCTCCAAAAAGATATCTCGAGTTGTAAGATCTACTTTATCTGCTGAAGCCTACTCCATGTCTCGGAGTGTAGATCGTTTGGGATGGCTGCGTTTGCTGTGGGGCGTCATGGTGATACCCCAATTTCCGTGGCAAATGCCGTCAAAGGCCTATGCCCAATTGCCTATGGGTATCATTACCACA